GTCTATTCTGTATTCATTATATTCAAATATATTCTTCATCAGTAAAATGGGTTCCAGAGACCTTAGTAAATCTGATAAAACAAAGGAATGTAAACGAGCCTTTTCCACTTATCAAGCGTTTACTATGCCACCAATTAAACTCCAAGGCCGGTACACATGATATAGACTGTCGCAATGGACTCTATTCTGTTTGAATTGCAAATGGTTACCTATCTACTTCTACTACAGTATCTTTGACCTTCTGGCACGTGACATCGCGATATCGCGAGCTTCACTGTCAATTATAATTTAGAATTTAATTCTATTTCCAAAATGTGGTTTCTTTTATAGTGTATTTTTTACATTGGAAGTTTTAGTACAATTGAATGTATACTATATGAAAGTAATATTTCTTGGTTTTATAATATTGTGTGAGTGTAGAAATAAAATATTTAAAAAGTAATATTTGTTATTATTTATATATCAATTAGTGTCAGATACATAAAACCTGGGTAGCAAAATGTTTAATAGAATACATCTGTTACTTATACATAATTTAAGAATAACATATGATATATATTTTTTGTTTTTGGAATTGCAGTAAGACAATTTTGATTTTTTTATAGCTTAAAATATATGGTCGTGATAGTATTTAGTTGTAATGAAAAAACAGACAATTATCATCAAATGGAAAGCCACCTAACGTTGAAAAACAAACAACTTTGGTTGGTCTAATTCAAGTCACAACTGAGTATAACAAATAGCAAATAAAAATAAATTTACTTATATACATTTTACAACCAAACTCAATATCAATAATAATTAATAATGTTTCAGTTCTATTATTTCCGCAACAAAATCATTCGTCAAATCACTCTCTGTTTCTCTTTGTAAATATAAATAAGGAAGCGGCGGTGCTGTGTTCTTTCAATATTTGTATAAGGGCTGCAAAATAATTAGGTTTGCTACGAAGTACATTGCTATTGTACCGTTTCAGAATATTTTTTTTCTAAAAGGTGATTTGTTTTTACTTCAACCAATGTTAATGTTATGATAACAATGTCGGGGATGTTTTTTTTGTCGTTTAAATTAGTGCAATTACTTACGATCACGTTTTGTATTGGATTGTCTAGAATGGGATATCCTTGCATACGGTACTTTTATCTCACTACTGTATAAAATTAGAGATATTCTGTAACGTGATAATAAAAAAAATATCTCAGTTTTTTCATATAAAACATAACGTTCCTTACTATTTTTAATTAATATATTTTCATTTAATTTCTTGACGAAAAGATTTTTGAATAAATATTTTGTTAAAGACTTTTATCACTTTGATTTTGATGATAGATAACATATAATTGAATAAATGTAACTGATAACTGATTATATTTTAAATTAATTATTTTTGTTTCAAATATGACTGGTAAATATCTAAAATATTTTTATTCTTATTTATTTTTTCAATCTTAAATATTAATTTAATAATGTAATAATAATCACACTGATAACACTTTCAAAATGCAATCTAAACGTTACAAATGAATCACGTAATGCATAACGGAAAAAAAAATCTTTTGTAAAACATGAGTCAATTTGGGCTGTGGTCTCAATAAGCAATTAACGATCGTTCAATTGTCTACTGCACAAAAGCCTTCCGCCGGTAATGGACACACGGACGGAGCTCGGGGAATAGAGAATACAGCTTTGGGATCTCCGGAGAACAATACATTGTAGCATATGAAAGATACTTTGTTACTTGCCCTAGAAAGCGAATGTGCGAAATGATGAAATTCAATTTATCCAACAATTTTGACAGTTCGCATATAATATTATATCTCGATTATATATTATTGTAAGAATTTAATATAATGTATCATAAATAGTAAAGAGGTTAATAAGAAATAGCTTATTGTTTAATAAAAGAATTAAAATGTTAATAATAAGTTTGAGCTAAGAACAGCCGTAAGTAGACGTAAAAAAGAATGTGAACTAATATTTACAGAAAAAGGGCAGGATTTAAACTTATTTAATATAAATTTTGATGTTAAGTACGAAAATATAAAACTTAAATAAAACTGAGAATTGTCAAGTGCTGTCAGACACTTTCATGTCATCTGTCCGTGATCATGGTTGCTGCAAAGTTAACGAAACGTCGGGTGTATGTACTTCTTAAATAATAAAAATCCGTAGTACATCCGAAAATATTAATTTTATTGAAATAAATACCAAGAGTATTTATAAAATCTTAGATCAATACAAAACTTAGTTTAATTCGAAACGTAAAAATTATAATATTATTAGCCAATTTTTAACATACATACATTACCCACTTAACATTTAAAGTCCAATGAATTACAATACACAGATTTTGTTGATTTCACAAATTGTTTAACTAACGCCATCTTTAAAATTTTTTTTGTTATGATAAACATCACAAAACAATGTATCAACATTGAATGCAAATCGGTTGAACTGTTTGAAATGAAAAATAGTTCTTGAAATAACCCATAGGATCTTATCTGTAAATATTTGGTATGTTATAAATTCAGCTTACATCAAAATTATTCATTACAGGTACTTATTGTAAAGCGACCCAAACTTAAAAATAATTTATTTATTGCGTACTGTAATTATATTTGTCTGCAAAATTTAATACTTACTGCCGAGAATTCAGTCCAGAAAAAAATCACACAAAGTACAGATCCTATCTCAATCGACAGATGATATAACATAACATCCTGCCTTGAACTAAGAACGAGATCTTTTCCTTTGTCGGATAAACTCGACTTGCAGCATAAGCATAATACAAATGATAGCACAGAGAGAGTGCAAGGGGATTTTAAACACTGTTGTCACTTTCAGTCCAGAGAGTATATTCTATTAAATCTGACCATTTGCATAAGAGTCATATCTTTAAATACTCTCAATTAAATAAAACCAATCTATCTCAATCCATAATCATCAAGTCTCAAACAAAGTCTGACTCGATGTGAGTCCAAAGCAGTCACAGGAATCTTGTCAAACTAGAATTGGCGATGCATTTGTAGTTGTATCGCAATTATTCTAATTAAATAATAATATCCATTGAAATTTTTCGCCTTTAATTTAATGTATTTGTATATGTTATAAAATGTATGGTTTTAGTTGTGTGCATCAAAATAAATATTATTTAAGTTATATGTAATGCCTATTAATTATAATTAAACTCAGTTTAGGTTTCATTCTTTCATTTTAGGAATCTTTACCTATTATTTATAGGGAAAGGTTCTATTGTAATAAATATTCATACGTCCTATCTTTTTACTGTTCATAATTATTTATATATTACTACATGTAAAGAAAGTTGCTCTTTACACCCTTGACTCAAGAATTTGTGTTTTTTCTGGATTATAATAGTTTTGAGTTCAATTTTGTAATTGAGATCTACAGAAACCATTTAGAAAAACCGGGATTTTTTTTAAAAAAGCGGGGTATGGTACTGGACATTGAATATGTGTTTATTTTTCTAACTATAATCAAGTGTTTTAATGAGTAAATAATATACCTATATTGTTCTTATATAAACTACTTCTTACAATATCTGTTTTAATTTCATTTCTGTATTGGTTTTATTAGTACAGTTTTCTATTTTAATCATGAGGTCTTTACTATTGTTAGTTCCAATCGAGCTCTCTTAAATAATCCAAACCTATAAATAATATACCGAAATCTTTCAAATGTTTGACCGATATTGTAACAGTTCAGTAATTTTCAATTCAGCAACATTTATTTGTAGACATGTGTGAAAGGTTTTGAATTAAATATGAAATTAAAGAATCGCATGTGATTTTAAAGAAATCTTTCAATATAATTCATAGACCATATTGTTTGTTAAGGTGGCACAAATAATTTTTTTTTCAATATTTTCACTAATGTCACTAACCGTTTATGACGCAGTTAAATAATCTACAAAAAATACGATATTTTTATTTCAATTTGTTCTGATATAGATAAATGTATCCACACATTATTAATCTTGATGAACTGATTACAAAATGTATGCTAATTACCGATAACAAACATCGCAGAAAAAGTTATTAATATTTACTTTTGTTTTGTTTTTTTTTTCCTTTTTAATTATTTAAATTATTCTAATTTAAACAATCTTCTTTTTTCAATGTCTTAGTCTAAGGGAAAATATGACATTTTGTAGTTAAGCGGCCTACAGTATATTTTTGCCAATAAATAATATATATAGTAGTCGGTCGGTTAAGTCGGTTTGTGTATGCTTCAAAAACTGAAAACGTTCGGCATCGATTCAGCCGAAATTTTGACACGATATACAATACGCTTCAAGTATTGTTTTTATCTATTTTTTAATGTACTAACATAGCCGCGACTAACCAACTAAAAGTCCACAACGGCACAGGGCTTAATGAACAACAGTGGAAGTTTCACAAATTTAGTGAAAGCAACGATTTAAACAGAGCTTTTCAAAGGTGAAGATGTCCTCATCCTCAAATTCCTATACTCCTGACCGATATATCATTTTTATTTAAAAGATTGCGATTCCCAATTTGAGTGGCATTAACCAATTTAACATTTAACAATTCGACAATTAACAAAGCAAAAGTTGAATCTTTAGAAACTTATGGTTTATATTTGGAAGTGGGTTGCTTTTCACATGGTCAATTGTATGTTGCGTGTTCCTGTGTTTTAAAGCCAGATAGCCTCTTTATCTACACAGACAATGGAAAAACAAAAAATACTTTATACCCACAAGTATTGCAAAATTAAACTTCAGTAGAACGTATGCTATCTTTTGTTGTTCATTTCTCACCGATGCGACTACAACGAAGCCTGTCAGGGCATAGGTAGTAAAAATAAAACAACAATCATTTAAAATTATTTTAATAGTACCCTCTGGTTTTGAGATAAAATAAAAGACCGATTACAGTATTTAGTATTTAGTGATAAATTTCAAAAAGTTATTTTAAATGTATGTATATAAATCTTAAATTTTATTAATAATTTTTCAGGTGGAAACTGTGGGAGTGAGTTATAGCGGCATGCGCGTGCTGGTGGCAGCACTTGCTGCGCTGCTGGCGCGTGCGCTAGCCAGTCCTCACGAGCATAGAGCCAGGCATCATGCGCCGGACCACGCTCTTCACTTTTCTATGCCCGCTCCGCCTCAACCCTATCGCGGACACGGAGAGGCCGTACGTTACAATCCAGAGCTAGACACGATTCTCCCTCGTTTCGATGAACAAGAAACATCCTCGAAACGAGCAAAATATGCAGATACGGAATCGTCTTCTAAGCGAGCCAATGAAGAAAGGTTCTATTCTAATCATGAAAGGATTGAAGAACTTATGGCAGACGAACCCCAACTTGGCCCTGAACCCGATGACCCATTAATCGTTCGTACTACTCACGGTAGAGTTAAAGGGATAACACTTACTGCAGCAACAGGCAAAAAGGTGGATGCCTGGTTTGGTATACCTTATGCTCAAAAACCTATCGGAGATCTCAGGTTTCGACATCCAAGACCCATAGAAAAATGGGGTGATGAGATTCTTAATACAACAGCACTGCCACACTCATGCGTCCAGATTATAGATACTGTGTTTGGAGATTTTCCAGGTGCGATGATGTGGAATCCTAATACCGACATGCAAGAGGATTGCCTTTATATCAATATTGTGTCTCCACAACCACGCCCTGTAAATGCTCCTGTAATGTTGTGGGTCTTTGGAGGTGGATTTTATTCTGGTACGGCTACTTTAGAAGTTTACGATCCAAAAATACTTGTATCCGAAGAAAATATTGTATATGTAACCATGCAATATAGAGTGGCGTCTTTAGGGTTCTTGTTTTTTGATACACCTGATGTACCTGGCAATGCTGGTTTATTCGACCAACTTATGGCCTTACAATGGGTCAAAGACAACATAGCCTACTTTGGCGGCAACCCTCATAACATAACTTTATTTGGAGAATCTGCTGGTGCTGTATCAGTTTCCCTACATCTATTATCCCCTCTGTCAAGAAATTTATTTTCTCAAGCTATAATGCAGTCTGGGGCGGCTACAGCTCCTTGGGCCATAATATCAAGAGAGGAAAGTATTTTACGTGGATTGCGTTTGGCTGAAGCAGTTCATTGCCCAAGCTCTAAAACGGATACGGGTCCCATGATTAATTGCTTAAGAAAAAAAAGTGCTGACGAACTGGTAAATAATGAATGGGGAACGTTAGGAATTTGTGACTTCCCTTTTGTTCCTATTATAGATGGATCATTTTTGGACGAAATGCCGAGAAAATCATTAGCCCATCAAAACTTTAAGAAGACCAATGTTCTCATGGGATCAAATACTGAAGAGGGTTATTACTTTATCCTATACTATTTAACAGAACTGTTACCTAAAGAAGAAAATGTCGGTATTACTCGAGAACAATATTTGCAAGCCGTTCGAGAATTAAATCCTTTCGTGAATGACGTTTCAAGACAAGCTATTGTCTATGAATACACGGATTGGCTTAATCCAGATGATCCAGTAAATAATAAAAATTCATTAGATAAAATGGTCGGTGATTACCACTTTGCTTGTGGGGTCAATGAATTTGCACATCGCTATGCAGAAACTGGTAACAATGTTTACACTTATTATTACAAACATCGCAGTAAGAATAGTCCTTGGCCCTCATGGACTGGGGTATTACATGGAGATGAAATCAATTACGTTTTTGGTGAGCCACTTAATCCTGGGAAAAATTACTCTCCGGAAGAAATTGAGTTTAGTAGGCGTTTGATGAAATATTGGGCTAATTTTGCGAAAACTGGGTATGTGTGTATATCATCTATTTGTCATGTATATAAAAACAACTTCTTTTTAATTATATATATTATGTAAGTTTTCATTTTGTACTATTTTTTATTTTTATTCAGAAATCCATCAATGGACGAAAAAGGTGAGACGATGAAAGAATATTGGCCTCCTTATACGACTGGAGGCCGTGAATATCTATCTCTTGAGGTAAACTCGAGTTCGGTGGGACATGGTTTGAGATTGAAGCAATGCGTTTTCTGGCAAAAATATCTGCCCCAACTTATGGCTGCCACTAGTAAGTAGTTGCATTATGTTTATATTTATGCCTGAGAATTCATAGGTTTCTTACTTTTGTTGTTTATTTTGCAGATAAACCTGAAACACCGAAAAATTGTACCAATACTGGATTTTCAAGAAAACCTTCCCACGTGATGCTCAGTTTGAGCTTATTTTCTTTAACAGTCGTTAAGGCGGTTAACTATATTTAAATACTACTGAGTGTTTCAAGTTAGGTGTATTGGTATTAGGCTTTATAATATTAGTTTTATCGCTTTTAAACGCTCCTCCGGCTGTGGAGATTAGTTACTTGTATTATGGGGTATACCACTATAATTTTGACTTTAAACGTGATTTTATTTCTTTGGTAGAGTATACTCAGAAAATAAAAAAGGTATAATTAATTTTGTATTTACGGTCAGTGGAACAATCGTATGCTTTTTTTTATGAAATGGATCAACGGTATATTTTAAATTATTTTTATATATAACGTATATAAATAATATACAAATATTTTATAATAAGCCACCTTAAGTGTTATATTGCTCTTTAAGTCTATAAAGCATTTATTAAGCTTTGGTTAAGCTTCACGGTCGTAAATAAGAAAACTATGGAGTTAATGTTATTATTTTAAGGAGTGATACCTCCATCAACATATCACTTGTTAATAACAAATTTTAGAAATACGTAGTCGTAATTTCGTCATAGTTTGTAAGTCTTTAACATATCTTTACAGAATAGGCTGAAGAGATTGCGAATAAAATAACAAGAGGAAAGTGAAAAAGTCAATGAAAGACTCACAAGGAAATGGTTAAAATAATGGAATTTCATCTGAACCGTATTAATGTAGAATGTAAAATGATTGATGTGTATGATAAATAAGATGTAGAACTTTTAGCTTTAAAGCGCCTCTATTGCAATACATATCACGCAAGGCATAGAAATGTTTAAATCCATTCTAGCCTTAGTGTAAGTTAAATATAAGCTAGTTAGCTTCACAACTCTGTAGCGGACCAATATTAGAAAGTTGTACATGATATATGGTTCGACTGGACTAAAGGAAAATCAAAGTTCAAAACTGCCAAAAAATGTTTTGGATCTGAAAGAATTTTAGTTCATGGAAAACTAGTCGACTGTTTAGAAAAAGCAGATTGCTCTGTCTTATGTTGGTAGAAATATGAGAATTAATTTTAAAAAGTGGATTAGTTTTTCGAAAGCATGTGTTTTAAAAAGAATCGGTTGTAATTTGGTGGTTCAGAGAGGAACATCTAACAGAAGGTTAAAAAGAACATTCTCTGAATGTTGGGAAATGTACAGCTTTTAGTATATGCCGTAAGTTTGCAAAAACCCAATTAGTACCTTAAAGTTTAGGATCGACACATATAACTTAGAGAACGTAGTGTCCAACAGTTCAGCTTTCGAATATTGGTATTTGGTATTATAAGATAGAAGAATCTTTTAAATTCGTTCAAAGATTCGAAATACAATTTACTAGTACAATACAGTAATTTTAATGTCTTTTGGCGAGTATTTTTTAGATAATAAAATATTGTTTTGTTTCTGTACATAACGTATGTATTAGAAAATAAAGTAGGTCTTGAATCTTAGGTTTTATGTACTTTCAGGGCACGAACGCCCAAGTGTCAAAACAAATCTGTTGTGGAAGACGATACTTTATGAGATATAGTGAAGATGTAATTTTCATATATCTACAATTTTTGGCTTTTGTTAATTTATGATTAGATTAGACGTAAACATTTGAATATGTAAGTCAATTGCTGTCTTGAATACCGATATTAAATCGTTTATTAAATATTAAAACACGGCTTTCGGTAGCTTATACAATTGCCGATGTTAGATTTTAATCTAGTATCAATATAAAGTTATTTCTCGTTCGATGTTTCACGAACTACGCTTATTTTAACCTGCATATATAAACCTATAGAGTGCCTCTTGTTCACTTTTATATATATTGATAAACACTTAGTGTATACTTGTAGTAGTAGAGACGTAACTTCTTACAATTTGCACTTCTTTAATTTTATTTTGATTGATTCGTTTTGGAAGGCCAGGAAATGACGAGAAGTGCCAAAGCAAGTTTAAAAATGTGTCAATAGACAAACATATTTTTGTTATAACATAGTCGTTTAATTAAATTCTTTAAATTTACTCCATTACTACATAATTCAATATTTAAATTATATCTAGTTATGAGTCGTTTTCAATATATTACCTGAAAATAGATTATAAAATATTAAAGCATTTGTAAACATCACACTTTAATTGTTTATATATATTTTTATGTCTGACCTACTTCTTATAGTGACCTAAATACACTTACATGAGTTTAAATGATAAATCTACCATAATTTTTAATTGTAAAACGGTAATAACATATCATTGATTGTATTATATGAAAATGATCCGGTGGAGGAGTATTGAATATTAAAATGCTAGTATTGTTTGAATGAATGTACAGCCTTTCAGAATTCAAATGATTCCAAAATAAATTTATTCATTAATTGAAATAATTAAGTATTACTATCCATGAGCAGTTTATTAAAACATATAACTCGTTGTTCCAGCTTAGTCGATGTACAACAGTTACAAAACTTTAGTTTATGTTATAAAATATTGCTTATTTTTACCAACATTTCAAGTAAGGAAATATTAGTTTTGATGAAATAATAATTTTAAATAGACATCATTTTCATAATGTTTATTTTGATATATTGGCGTTTGAATAATACTAGCAAATTTTAACACGTTTTTATAGATAAGAGAGGCTAAACGATAATTTTATAGTACCAGTGGTTTGAGGTGTAATGCTTCTGATAAATGTGGCCTAAATCTAAGCACGAAATATGGGAGGCCTATGTGTATTTATTTAATTCTGTTTATCTTTTCAAATTCTATTAGTAATTTTTCAAGTAAGTTGTTCATAATATTAGTGCTATGATTGCATTATTGAATGTCTGCAACTTTTGTGTTTAATTATAAAATATATGCTTGTATATAGAATGTGTTTTATTTATGTACCGATAAGTGTAATTTAGTTTCATTCTATTTTGAAATAATAATTAATTTTAGATGATTTTACATCAAATGTTGATGTCAAATTAACTTATTATTGAAATTTAACTCCCAAGAACTGATTAATATTTTTTTTCTGGTTTGATTACCAAAAACAATTTCCATAATATGAGTTTAAGTGAATGGGTCAATCAGGACAAGTATCGTTTTTTTAAAGCGTAATAGGTTTTAACGTATAATACCTACACATTTGGTTTCTGTGAATTGTATGTTTATCCGCAATAACTGCTAGCTGCTTATAGTGTCTCCGTCAATTTGAATATCCCATATTGTTTTCCCATTTTCATTGTCCAGTGCTAGTAGACAAAGAGGGGGTGTAAATAGTTTATGCTTCTATTTACCCATCGCTCAGAGGTAGCCACCAGTCGAATCGCTAATTTCAACATATCAGTGACGTGGATGGCGTGATCAATGTGGCTAATCTTAAAACTGATATGACGCGTCAGGGCATGAAATAGTTTATTTCTAATTTGTAATATCAATACAATGTAAATAATCTCTAAGATCATTTTAGGTCTGATTGACGTGATATTTCACTTTCTGGGGAGGGTGCTTTACGAGTTGGTAGTCAGATAATATCACAGTGAAGTTATGTGGTATCAACTCAGCTTCAATGCTAACTAGAATAAAATGCAAAGAAAGAGACGTATTAGTAAAGCGAGTAAAAATACAAGCATGTTTTATTTCCGCCAAGAGACTTATTTTCTTCTTTATTTCATGACCTATTCACTTAATTCAACAAACTCCAACTTTTCGGAATGTCTCTTTGGAATATATCAGTTGACTTAATTATTAGATATTAAGGTATTCTTGAGTCTTAACTTTCGGCAGTTCTTTGAGTTCAAAACTAATAAGTATACTCTGAGTCTTTGCAAAAGAGCGGCATTTCTTCAGGTTGGGACAGCTGTCATATTTAAACAGATTTTGCCAAATTTCTCAATAAGAGACATTTTATTTTCGTTTTTATTAAATAATTATAAAGGTTTGAATATTGTATAGTGAATCTATTACTAATTAATTACAAAATTCACATTTTTTCTTCATATTTGTTTTCAACTAAACATAAATAACGAATTCTGAAATTAACGCGGACGAAGTCGCGAAAAAAAATCTAGTTAGTTATAAATTCAACTGTTAAAAAAAACCTGTTTAAAAACACTAAAAAAGTTTTGTTTAAATATCGACTAACAACATCTACAATTAATGTTTAAGATCAATCATAAAGCAAATTTAGAAATAGGTAAAAAGTATGAGCATAAACTAATTGTCTAAAGTTTGATGTGTCTGTTATTATTTGATACATATAAACATAAAGGAAAAAAATCTGATAAGGTTTGTATTATTTTAATTAAGTACATTTAGTAGATAATATAATAAAATACTAATATTGTATTGGCTTTGTTGTCTACGGCTATGGAGAGTTTTTAAAAATAATCTGGCCACCTTATTATTAATGATAAGATTTATTGCCGGTATTAGGTATGCCTATGACAATTAGTCATATGAAAACATTCAAATTATATTTTTTTTACTAAGGTCTCGCCTAAATCAACCTTCCTGTTAAGTGTCAATCTATACGATGGTGTGACTTCTACACGTCCATATTATCTTAATTTTAACAAGATACATTACTTTATCAAAAAACCTAATCTACAGATATAAGTATATCACAAAAATTATAAAAATTAATATACGCTTTAATCTTATAAGAAATTTATTCTATCTTGGGTACTTTGGTTTATGGGGATCGTTTTTGTATTTCATTTATAATGTTTCAAATTCTTCTCATGACGCAAATGAAAGACTTTTAAGTAACATAAAAACATAACACGCATACACTCGTAGTTCATAAAATCTTTTGTTATTTCGAATATTCTAATTCTTTTGAAGTTATTGCAATTTTGGAAGTTTTCCCTCTACATCACAGAGTGTATCAAACTCTAATTGACATACTCTAGATAATAATTAAACAAAGAACGTTTATCATAAAATAATCAGATTTTAATTATAGATAATCTTAATGAATATAATTAATTAAAAATAAATTTTCGAAGTTAATGTGCTTATAATATATATTTTTTGAAAAATATTTTTATACTTTCCCTAAGGGACAGACAGATTTGGTGTTGCTTATACATAATTTCAAATAAACAAAATATTTGAAAGTTTTCAATTGAAACTGTTATGTATATAGAGAAATTATAGAATCAATTTTAAAACACTGAAATATTAAGCTACTTTTGATTCATGACATGAAAACTTCTCAGCATTCCATGGATTCATATAGTTTCAGGAAGAGGAGCTTCAATAATGACTGGGACTAGCGACCACAAGTTTTTGAAATGAACCTACTAGGGCTGCCTTTGAACGCCGCGCTGTTCTGAGAATCACTTGATGTTAGTTCGGTACGGGCCAGACAGATTGAGCTGTTATATCTCTTGCTCCCTACTAATAATACTACTGCGTACAAATTTACGATGTACCTTTTTTTCTTGGTTTGCTAGTTTACCTTGATGGTATGGTTTTGGAGATGTTGCTTTCCCAAGGACCCGTAAGCTCTTTTAGCATAACTCCTTTTAAAATTCTAGAATACTGAAATACGTCTGGTCTGAACGCCGATACATAAATATCGCCTGAGACTTTATGGTGTTTTACATAAGTCTTCATCATTATCCACCTTACATAGTCTTAACATTATTGTGTTACGTTGTAGTTCTTTCATAAACTGTTTATGGAATTGAAGTCTTGAGTCAAGCTCAGGGGCATCTTCTAAGTATCTAGATATCCCTGATAAAAACCTTTTCTCGTCATAGTAATAGAATTTGAAACAACCTGTAATGAGCCACTACGCTCATGTTAAATTTGGTTCATAGTTCATGAGGCAAATACGGAATCCCTTTTTATATATCATAAATACTAGTTTTATGCTTTCAAATCCGACAGTGTTAGCATCTATCTAATATCCAGGATATCTCAGTTTTCATATTATTGTATCATAAAGTACCTATCTCCTCATTTTTGATCTTTCTTTTTTATAGGTAACAGAAAATTAGTTTCTTTTTAGTCAGACGGGTTTCTCGTAGACTAAGTTATTATGTTGATTAACCTGGTGTATTATGATCATAGGTATTTCGTTTCATGCATAGTTTTCAGATCGGACAAAGATACAGAAAATAAATGGTGCACAGGTTGAATAAACAAGGTCGGAAAAATAGATCAACAGTCAGGTTTTAGGGCCTCCATTGATGTTTTGGTAAATTATATTCAGTATTATAAATAAAATTTTAAAGTACTAATTATTTTTTTTATTAAAGAATTGGAATTATGACGATGATTTGTTTTTTATTATCAATAGCCAATTAAAATTGTTGTGATTTAATCTATTCTCTTTCGATTAGTATAAATACAGCTCGAGATTTTGCTTTTAGTAATATTAATTTCAGTGCAGGTGAGAGCTAAACTGTTTAGAATAATATTTTAATAAATAGGTCAAAGAAAACATATTTGTATACTTTTTTTGCAGAAAATAATTACCATGATGAAGTTCCAACTCTTCGCTTTATTATTAGTCATTGCTGCTGCTTCAGCAAAGCCCTCTTTCAGCGATGTCAGTATCGTTGGTAAGTTAATTTTCAAGTACTGTTTGTGATATATATATGTAATACCAAACAAATATTGAAAATGAAAAACCACCAGATGAGTCCAGCGATAGGCAGCAGAGAATAATCGTAGAAGGACAAATAAGAAGGATCATTCAACAAATCAGAGAAGGTATCCAGAAAGCCGGACTCGATCCTCTAGAAGTTGAAAGAGCAGAGTACGAAGACTCTCCAATACCTTTGTAAGTGATGGACTTTAATTTGATAGAGCAGTTTGTTATTTTATTTTTTATATACTTGTAATTTAATTTTTAAAATAATTATTATATTTGCAGCTTAGTTGAGATCAAGGCTTTCATTGAGAACCTTAAGTTTAATGGTCTCAGTAACATCGTTATTCACAATCTCAACTACAGTCTTATTTTTAATAGACTTCGAATGGACCTTTCTCTACCAGCAATCAGATTGTCGATTGGTTTGTAAATTTATTATTTATTTTGTAATTTAAATAGCTTTGTTTCATGAAATTGTGATTTTAATTTTTTTTTTGTTTTAGGTGATTCTGGTATTGAAGCCTCTGTTTTCGGCAATTCTTTGGAAGGTCAATTGAAAGGAAGGTAGTTATTAGTTTATTTTTTAAGGTGTTGGCTGAGAATTTTGCGAGATCAGAAATAACCTGCAAACATACATACATTCATAGAAAACAAAATTTGTTATGTGTATTGTGTTGTTCTAATAATATTATTTCAGTATAATAAGTGAAAACCAAAATTATTCCTGTTATCAAAAGTTTTCCAAAATGCAGTTTTATTTTCTTTTAGTCTCAATCTTAGCCTTCTTTTAAATTTGATAAATGAAGTTGGTACATTTTGAATTATTCTATGATATTTAATTTTGTTTTAAAAAATAAAATTACTTTTATTTTTCAGCGTTGCCATAATTTCACTACGTCTCGCAACAGAAGTTCGCGTGAATATTGGCATCATTAGTGGCATTAGCATCCGTAGTATATCAATAAACTTATCTCTTGGTGGTATTGAGGTAAATATCAAATTTTCAATGCCTTGAAACATGTTGGGAAGAAAACAATATAATATGTAACAATGTGATGTAAATAAAATAATTTTCTTCTGTATTTCAGTCCGATGTTTCCATCTCACTATTAGGTAACGATTTATCTGATGAAGTAAATGTTTTGCTGGGGGAAAGCATTCCCAAGTTTTTCTCGGAGAACGCGGTGAGTGGAACATATGCATAAATTATTTATTGTTTGCAGTATTATTTTGAATGTACCTATATTTAATAAATTTATTTCGTTTGCAGGCCAGCATCAATAAATTCCTCGAAGATCTTATTAAGGGTCTCTTAGATAGGTCGTCATTTTGAATGATTCTATATAATACTATTTCTTAAATTTAAATGTCAACTGTACTTTGTAGTTGACGAGGAGTTCTTTAAATATCAATAAAATTTATGTATTTTTATGTTCTTTTATTATTTTCTCCCATTTTGTTATAGGTTTTTAGTTTGATTTAAGTTAAAGTTAAATTAGACATAACTTGTTCTCACTGTTCTTCAATAATTTTTTTAAAAATCTGTTCCAATAGTTTTATTAAAAGAAATGGCAGATATATTATAATAAGAATCTTTGAGCGAAAGTTTTCTAAACGTTTTGCTTTTTAGTTGTTGCTCATTAGCCAGTTTCTGAGAAAATTTATATTATTGTTAAAGAACTAATATTTGGTCGTATTTAGCTAATTAAATTATTGTTTTGTTGACTGCCCCTTTGTTCGTGCTTTTCTAAGAGGTTTTGACACCTACGCTTCGAACCCAAAACACTCAGGAAAACTTTGTTTCATAAGTTCCTTATTCTATTTTTTTTTACAAAAGACAACATTCAAAAACTTATTTCAATAGAACCAGAGACGAAACCTCATAGCATGCAATGGATTCATCGTGCGAGTGCCCTGTCCAACACGTTGCACGGAGAGGAGCTTCAACAGTGTCTGGGATTTGCAACCCAGGTGTAGGTTGAAAGGATCCTTATCAAACGCACGTAAAATGCTCACCTCCGCTGTCCAAGCTCCTCTCTCTACCTAACCAAATTTGAGACGAACCTACTAGGGCTCCCTTCGATGTACGCTCCAAGAATGAATTGATGTGAGTTCTGGACAAGCCCAGGGATTTAACTAGGTTGTAGAGAGATTGAGCCGTTATACCTCTCGCTCCCACTTCTACCGCGTATAAATCCACGACGAACCTATTTCGAGTGAGTACGTTTGTGAGCTCGTAATATTGACCTGGATGGTATGGTCTTTGAGGCTGATGGTTTCCGAAGGAACCATGAGCTTTATCATCACAACATGCTTTAAAATTCACGAATACATAAATATATCTAGTCTGGAGGCTGACGCACAAACATTCTTGGGGATTTTGTATTGTTCTTCATACGAACTCTACTAAGATACCTTCATACAAATTTTTAACTCGTTTTACTTTCAATCATAGTAGGCCAGTGCAGATGCCTCTAAAAATGATGAAAAGTGAAAATAAATTATAGTAGAATGAAACCCATTAGAAAAGGAAGGGAATATTTTAAAAATTAAGGGGAAAATAATTTACGGGCAATCTGAAGTCGGGAAGGGTACGGGCGTGGGTATTTAAGGGTAAAAAATGGGTTTTCTCGATTTATGGAAAAACTAATAGTCCTAATGAAAAATGTTATATGGCAAAGTTGTAGGTAATAAAAAGATCTAAAACTTTATGTGATAAATTCGAAAAACCAAGTTTTTGGTTCTTTATTTTTATCTCTTACAAAAAACAATTTTTTGTCACGAAATTTGGTGAATATTTTTCTTTTGATGTTACAAATGCACTGTAATTTATTTGATTACAAATATTTATTTTTTCAGCTTATTTTGAATAAATATCTAAAAATCAGCCTCATTTTCAATCGAAAAATCACCCGTCAAAATATCAGCTATTTTCAAAAATTTGGTGTGTTTTCTGTTCGTTGAAATCTCTATTTTCCGATGGTGAAGAAATAAATATAAGTTTCTTACTTACAGTATCATTTTTGGATAAAATAATCATGTCTCTTTTAATGAAATGACACTCGACATCGGTTTGAAAATGCTCTTTCTAATTTATTTTTAATAGTTGTCTACTCTGGAAGTTCTCCACATAGTCCCTCTTTTAGGTAATTTTCGGAAAATTGACATTAAGCTACTGCTTTTAAGATTAATTTTTAAAAAAGAATCTGCTTACTAAAACTTATGTACTACATAACTACACTACCACAAAAAAAATCATTAAAAATAATAAATGGCGTCATCGGAACATAAACCTAAATGCCCGATAAGAGTATATATTTAACCCTATTCATATCACTGTACTGCGGTTACAACATTATCTCTCTGTAATCCTTAAAATTAATTATTTACGCTTTTACTTTTTAAGAAAGAAAATATCTCGAACTTGGTCATTGCTATTTAATTTTGTACACTTATTGAATTTATGAAGTTTTCACAGTCCAAATAAAATCAATATTTTTGAACTAGTAACAAAATGATATAATGAAGTAACTATATATCCTTATAAATATTACATATGCGAAACTAAGTCAGCCCGTTTTTCTGTTTGTTTGTCTGTTACGTTTTAACCCTTAAACCGGTGATCCAATTTGTATGAATTTTGGTTTAGAGATAGATGAAACCCTGAAGATGAACACAGGCTATTGTACCAATTAGGCCTTTTATACCGATCCCGAAATTAATTCTTATCACACGAGAGTAGGGATGCATGCGGCGATATTGGAGCGTGGTGAGCGGGTATCGTGTAGCCCGTGGGATTATAGGCTACTAACCACTTACCTGAACGGGCAGTGTAAACTCAAACTCAAACTCAAATAACTTTTTTCAATATAGAAGCATTACACTTTCTTATTGATGGTCGTTTGAGACACTACTATCTAATAAGGCAGATGATATCGTCAAACATATGCGATCTTCAGTTTAATCTCACGAATATGCTTTGTTTACGTTTGAAAATATTATATTTGTCTTTTTGATTGTTTGAGATTGGAATTTATTTGTAGTTTAGGTTTTTTGATTAGTTTTAAATAAGTATTTTTATAGTTTTTGTTTATCCGTGTGTGTTGTAAAATAGGTTTATAAAATAAAATAGGTTTGCTTATAGTTTTTTTAACTTTGGAATAGATACAAATCAGTAGGTAGGTACATTGTGTTAGTAGTAGTAGTATTTATCCATTTTAAAACAAGTACCTATATAATTTTTGACAATTTTATTTAGTTCACTTACACAAGTAGTGGATGTAGGTCGGATTTTTTTCATTACTTTACCATTTCGAGAAGTTATTTTTTTTATTATTCCTGTGTGTGTGCATATTATGTAATAGTTATTTTATTGACGTAGACGGATATTGAATTCGAGATTTTTATATGTGGCTTTAAAGATCGTATAAAAACAGTATACTATTTTAAAGTTTAATCACTATTTTCAGCATTCAGTGCTTATTGAAGTTAAAAAAGAGAACAGGGGTATGGAAAAAACATTTAAAAAAGATATAGTATAGTATTTTATAGTACAGTACAGTACAATATGCAATAATATAACAGAAAGTTGTGTTTGTTACAACACTTATCTAATTACTACTCGAGATCGGCTAGACCAATTTTCACTGTTTTTGGTTTGTTGGAGTTGTCCCCGTCCCGAGTAGCAGAATAAATCTTAAAAATGAAAACTTAAACAAAACTCGACGATAACATGTAAAGGATCGAACCCGGGTTCCCATGGTCGATCGAACTAGGTTGTACCTGTCATTTGTCATTTGTCAAACATTTGTAGTCAATTCTGTCAAATACTATAGGTAATGGTTGACATGAGTTCAGAAATAATGATAAATGGTTAACATTTACGCGTGCGTTTATTAATTTATTTTGTGTAAATTAAAGATTATATTGTAGTGACATCTATCGAAAGAAATTGGTGTGTCATATAATTAACTCACAAAAAAATATAACAGGTGGCGTTAGCAGTTTAACCAATGCAGGCCCTGATTTGAAATACATCTATATATATAAAAGAAAGTCGTGTTAGTGACTTAACTTATAACCCAAGAACGGCTGAACCGATTTAGCTAGAAATTGGCAGGGAGGTAGCTTAGAACCAGGAAATTCCAATAGGATACTTTTTATCCCGTTCGACAGCATTCCCGTGGGACTTGACATGAAACGTCAGTCACTATAAAACGTGGAATAACGAAACACAATTGACAGCTATGCAATTGACGTATAATGACAGATATGTAATTTTGTATTTCGGGATAAATTTAGAAAATCATTGTTTTTCACATGGGCAGTTATAGTTTGTGTGTTCATGAGTTGGGAAACCATCCGCTTTATTTGTGTTAACGTTAGACCAAGAAACAAAAAATGTGGTTTACAAAGGACTATTTGCGGACACATATAACGCTTCGATTCGGTACCTACTTTGGATTCACTTTCATTTACTTAGAGAAGTTCAACTAAATAATATTAATTTTTGTAATCTAAATGAATTCATTACTGTTGTGAAATGAAATAAAAATTTTCCTTTTCAAATATAAAACCAAAAAATTTCTTCATCTTTTAATCACCAAACGAAATGTTACATAAAACAAAGCCTTCTGGAGGCGAAACGGAGTTCGCCAGGTTTACTAGTAAAAATATAAATGTTACATTTTAGAACTGTTTTTGAATATTGTTAGTTGAGATCTGGACAGATTATCGAAATACTAAAGACTTATTCTATTATACATAGTATTAATTTAAACATTTAATATATAAGAAGACGACAGACCATTGTCTGTCGAGTCAGCTGTACATAATTAAGAATATACTTCATTGAGATGAAAAGGTATGTCTTGATTAGAGGGTGGTTCGAAGTTCGCCGGGTCATCTAGTAATATAACGTAGGATTATGGTATAAAAACGTTAAACAACTCAATTAGTCTTGTGAAAATATAAGTACCATTAATAACAGTAAAACCAATGAGCAAATACGCTTGTTTCTTTAAGTTATCCCAATGTTAGATACATTGATAAAAAATAATTTTCGTTATCATACCATTCCATGTACTTTTATGTTTTTATCGAATAACTAGTTGTTACTCCTGACTTCGTCTGGGAAGAAAAAACAAAACACAATCAAAAACCTTTAAGTACATACCTCCTATATACACACAGAAACAAAACAAAAATGAAACAATTTCCCTGCGGAATTAGGAAATGTTTTCGTATTTACACGAGGAGGAAATAAAATGCACTCATAAATTCTGAAGCCGATCTAATTTATCGAACAGCTAATCAGTGTCATCTTAGTAGCAA